AAGAAAATTGCCTGTAGTCACATTAATTGAGTTATCTTAGACACAGAGTGCTAGCCATGGGCTTATACCGTACACTTTCCATTCTCAAAGGTATCTGTATCTATAACTATATATATATGTCTATATATGCCTATATCTATACTGATATCTAATATATCTAACTATATATCTACATATCATATTATATTTGGGAGTCTATTTTGAATTGAATTTCTTATTTCTTATAGTACGCGATATTTATATATACTTGCAAGACTGTTCTGCTCATTTCCAGGCAAGAACTAATAAATCTTGCATTCAACAAGAATCTTATTGGTTAGGAAGGTTAGAATATGCTATTTAATTATTATTAGTTACTTTTGTTGCATGGGCAGTGAAACTAACTTCTTAGATATGTGTAAGTTCCAAGATTTGACAAGCATAAAAATAATTTGAAAACAATAGAGTATTTTGAGAACCCCAAATGTGAATGATCTGGTGAGACCTCCCTACAAATGTAAGTATTAGTCACATAATATTCAAAAAGTAGAGACACCTTGTGGAGTCTTATTGTTTTGTCGGCATTCATCCTCAAGAGCCAAGCTATTCTTTTTACTCACATTAATGTTTATATCTTTATAGTCCCTTCTTATATCCTATTCGTGAGTGCAGCAACTCAGGGACACTGAGAGTTACTTATACTATTCTGTTTTTGGACAGTATGGAAAGAAAATCTTTCTGGTTTTGGTTCTGAAAGTGCTTTTCCTGTGGTTTTTGAATTAATGGAATTAATTTTGTCTCTTGAACATACAGAAAACAAGAACAGCCTTTTGTTCCCATTTTAACCTTGAAATATTTAAAGATATTGGTCAGAGTCTCCTTGTACTTTTCTTCTGTATTCCAGGCATCTTCAGGCTGTTTACTGGTTTATTAGATGCTCTAGTTCCAATATATACGTCTCACTATTACTTACTTGACATCACAGGGTACCTATAAAATTATGAATAGTTATTGGGAACTATTGGTTTACCTGCGATGACATGCTGTCAAGAACATAATGCTCCCTTCCAAACCAAAATGAAAATGGGAGTTACCTCTCTCTGTCTACATAATCTAACAATGCAGCCAAATTGAATGCCATGGTTATAATATTAGAACTGAATCAACTTCATTCCCAACATCTATACCTTTTTACAACCACCACCTCCTCATTATTCCATCTTTGTTCTGTTGGCGTTGAACCCTATTACAATGTTCAACAACTTACACAGATCCCAATTGCATTCTGTACACAATTGTGTTCCTCTAATCCTCCAACTTGACCTCTTTTTGCTACCTGCATAAACTCTACTTCTAATTGATAGGAACATGAACATCCAAATTCCTGCCTTGGCTCAGACTGTCTTCTCTTCTTAAAGAATCTTTTCTTTTCCTTTCCTGTCCCTGCAATCCTATGTTAACATTATAGTTCAGCCCACAGTTCAAAATCTTTTTATGATTTTACCAATCAGAAAAAATCCTGGACATTATTCAATTATCTCAACTTCTGAAGAGTACCCCTAATATTCTCAAGATATCATAAAGTAAAAATTAAACAAAGCAAAAAACTTTATGCATAGTGATAATGCAGAAAAGCTCAGTATCCTTTAAAGTAAATTGTTGCTTCTCTGACTGTATGATAATTTCACTATAATAATCAGATTATTATAAGCCACAATTTGGAAGGAGGCTAGGCTCATGTATCATTATTCAGAGGACATCTGCCTACTGATCTGGAAATAACTTTGCACCTTTCACAACGAAGAAATAAATTTCTATTGCAAGGGTTGACAAATTACGTCCCACAAACCAAACCTAGTCCACTATATTTTTATAAATAATATTTTGCTTGAACAAAGCCAGGCCTGTTGATTTATGCATTGATTATATGGCTGCTTCCATGCTACAACACGCAGAATTGAATAGTTGGGATTGAAACAATATAACTCACAAGACTAAAATATTTACTATATTGTCCTTCATAGGAAGTTTGCTGAAACCTGTTCTTTTAAATCAAGTCACTGAGATTAAGATGCATATTTGTTAAGATATGGCAGTTTCTTAAATAATAAATACATAATATTATTTATATAATTTATATAACATATAACAAATTATAAATTGAAAAAATAGAGTATGAGCTTTTTTCAATTTCAATACTAAATTTAAGAATTGAATAACATTGTGCTCATATTTGGAAGAGCAATACAGTCTGCATAATTTTAAGAAAATCAATGATTTTTATACAAAATGAATCTGATAATACTATATAAAATTAAAGAAAGGAGAATAAACAGCGTAACTATAATATAATATTTTTTGCATAAATTTTATGTCCAGATTAGCACTGATTAATGTATATCTATATAGGGAAGGAAAATCAAAGATACAACAAAGATTAAGATTAGTTCTGTCTGGATTGTTGCCAAATAACTCATTTTTTTCTACATTTATATATTTTACAAGTATTTAACGACAACAATATAGTGTCTGGTTCAACATTTTTAAAAGATGAGTGGATACAAGTTCATGGTGAAATCACCCCCCAATCTTTAGAAGAAATTATATACGAACAAAATATCACATGGGGCATTACTTCATCTAATTGTTCTATTTGTAGCCACCAAGGAAAGACTTCAGTGACGTTCTCCAGAGTTAACATCCCTAAGGTATTGGTGGCATATATGTGTGACACAGCTTCATGTTAGGATTTAGCTTTGGTCTCCTTTTCTCTCTGTCATCTATGAATTTATTTTTGACAGATTACAGGAAAAAACTCATTTCCCTGAAATATTCATTACAATATATTGTAGAATCCTGCTATTACTTTTTCTGGTTTGTTACTATATTAAAAAAAATAGCTGAAATCTCAGCAGAAAGTCGCCTTCAGTCCATTAATCTTAGCAAATAAGCTTCATCAAATGAATAAGTTAAATTGTTCTGCACTCAGGTGAGTTGATTCCATCCTTAGTTTGTTTAACTTTAAAGGTAAAATAATATATTCCAATAATCTTTGCAGGAGACAAACACCTGTGAATCTCTAACTGCCGTTATACCTGCTTAGTTCAGCCAACTAGAAGTATCTGATACCGTATCTTTCACCACGTGTATTATTATTCACTGACTTACATCACTAAGAAGTGTCTTCTGTCATTCTTGATCACAGTATTCTTTTCCTTCTCTTTATGCACACAACCTTTATCTTTAATAACAAACAAGAATTATATGTAGCAATGTATCATTTGTAATTATATGCATTTTTCCCCAGAATAGCACTCATAGGAAAAAAATTGAGGATAAGGACCATATTTTACAATATTGTGGTTTCTAAAATGCCTATTATACTGCTGGGTACACAGTGGATATGCAGTGAGACAGTCATGATGGATGGCATCAGAAAGGAGGGAAAGAGTGTGCCCAGCACCTTATGCTCTCAGTCACCTCAACATTGTTGACAATTCATGGGGCTAAATGGGGGACTGTGAACTTTGCCCCAAGTCTGTTGGTACAAACACAGAGTGCAGAAGGTGGAATGAAAAACTACATGTGTGGAAAAGATGTGTGGGTAAGAATGAGCTGAAGATATCTCAAAACTTTCTTTCTCTTTCATGGCTATGCATTCCCTATCAATCCTGAGCTGCTGAGACTTTGTTACAACAGCCATGGGAGACGAGTATAGATTTTGAAAAGAATATGTTCTGTTATGGAATTTGCACTCAATGGGTTTTATGTTATTTGAAAATTACTTTCAGAAAGTAGTAATAAATGTGGTGGAAGATTAAATCACAAGTATCAAATCAAAGCATCTTAAGGAGCAATTGAAGAAGAAAAAGAGCAGGGATACGTTAATGATATCTTTACGTATATGCAGGGAACCTTTAAGTGCTGCATACGGTCTTGGAGGATAAAGTCATAACAATCAAAGGAAAACTATAACCTGTTAATTTCACCTCCTAATAGGACATAGAATTTTTGCAGAATTCTATGTAGAATTGCCTTACTTTTATGCATAGTGCCATTTTAGTTTTCAGCGGCAATCAAGAAAAGTGGCTTTGAGATTAATTGATTATAATGGCAGAAAAAGGCAATTGAGCCATTTTGGAGGAACACAGGACAATTTTTACAAAGAATTTAGTGTATTTGCCCCCGATAAATATCCTCATTTTATGCTAATTCATGATACTTAGATCCCATGGGGTTTCGCTACAGCTACTTGTTTTGTAAGACTCAAGATGAGTATTAGTGTGTTTTGACTTTTGGAGGTTTTGAGGTACACTAAAATGACCATCTGATAATGATGTAGAGAGGTCTCCAGCATAATAAAAATGGTCTGGAGATATTATACTTCAGTTTACTTCTACCATAAATCTCTCTAACTACTTGATATTACAATACACCAAGGAAGGGTAACAGATTTTTATAATTTGCAATAATTAGGTAAATGTAGTTGATCAAGTGCATTATTCTTCTGAAGAAAATATTTAAAATACGGGAAAAGAAATGTCTGACTCAGTGTAAGGAGGTCACTGGAGAAGTAAATTATTTAGAAATAGTTACAGCAAAAATAGTAAAAAGAAAATTGTACTCGACCATTTTGCTGGGTCATTAATTTTCTTTTGAATTCTATGTTCTCATAGTTAAACAAGTTAGAGAAGAAACTGTAGAAACGTATGATATATATTTTTTACAAGACGAGCATTTTAACTAAACTCAGATTTATGCAAAAAGCTAGACTGGTCTTTCTCATTATGCTAACAGCCTCTGAGGATACTGAATTTGATCACTTGAAATATAACAGGGTCAACTCTGTTTTTGTCCTTCCTCTCTCAACTGCCTTCTTTTGTATTCCATTTACACAGATTTCATACTCACTCTAAAATTTTGACACTAGTAAATTCTAGCTTTTAAATAATGTAATGGTTGAAACTAAAAGCTTTCCACAACACTATTTATAGATAATCACAGTCTCTCAACATTTCCTCATGTTAACCTGCCTTCTCCAAAATTTGCTTCTCGTTTCTCTGAATCAGCTTTCCTATTTTGTCCACAGGAACCAAGAAAACCAGAGTGCTGAAGTCACTTTCATTCTCTTGGGCTTCTCAGAATATCCAGGACTCCAGGTGCCTCTGTTCCTGTTATTCTTAACCATCTACACAGTCACTGTGCTGGGGAACCTGGGCATGATTGTGATTATCAAGATCAATCCCAAACTCCACACCCCCATGTACTTTTTTCTCAGCCACTTATCCTTTGTTGATTTCTGTTATTCTACTGTAGTTACACCCAAACTACTAGAAAATTTGGTTGTGGAAGACAGAACCATCTCTTTCACAGGATGCATCATGCAATTCTTCTTTGCATGCATATTTGTGGTGACAGAAACATTCATGTTGGTGGTCATGGCGTATGACAGATTTGTGGCAGTTTGTAACCCTCTTCTCTACACAGTTGTAATGTCGCAGAAGCTTTGTTCCTTACTGGTGGCAGCACCATACCTTTGGGGTACAGTCTGTTCCCTGACCCTTACCTACTTTCTATTGGAATTATCCTTCATAGGAAAGAATATTATAAATAACTTTGTCTGTGAGCATGCCGCCATTATCTCTGTGTCTTGCTCTGACCCCTACGTAAGCCAGGAGACCATTTTAGTCTCTGCAACATTCAATGAAATAAGCAGTCTATTGATCATTCTTACTTCCTATGTTTTTATCTTTATCACTGTCAGGAAAGTGCCTTCCACCGAGGGGCGCCACAAAACCTTCTCCACATGTGCCTCCCACCTGACAGCCATTACCATTTTCCACAGGACCATCCTATTTCTCTACTGTGTTCCTAACTCCAAAAGTTCATGGCTCGTGGTCAAGGTAGCCTCTGTCTTTTACACAGTGGTCATGCCCATGCTGAACCCACTGATCTACAGCTTCAGGAACAAAGACGTGAAGGAGACCCTCAGGAAGTCAATCAGTACCAAATTATTATGTCATTAATGTAAGATGGTAAGATATACGTTTTTGTTTTCAAGAGTATTGTGGAGAATTGTCCTAGTCTTTTAGTATTTTTAATACTTGGAATTCCTTATTTTACTAAAGCAGAGCAGTGTTTAATGTAAGTCCCCAGTTGACATACTATTTAACATATGTTAAATTTTAACTTTAGTAAATTAGCTATAAAATAATAAATAACACAGTAATTAAAATTCAGACCACTTAAATGAAGTTTTGGCACACAGAATTTGTCATGTAAAGATATCTGAGTTAGCACACATTACCATATGACTGCCCAGTAAATCTTTCATTCTTTTTTAGTCATCAGAGAATAGGTTTATAGAGTTACCGTAAATATTTATAGCTTATTATCAGGGAGGATGCATCAAATGCAATACAGCAAACTAGGAGTTATTCAGCACTCAGACTCTAAATTTAAAAGAAATATTTATTTAATTCCACACAGGAAGCATTGGTACATTATAAGTGCCAAGAAGGCATACCTCTGCCCCAACAAAGCCCAGAATATTGTGTGGTTAAATTATGATTGCTAATATAAAATTAATTTTCTCTTTGTATACAAAATATAAAAAATAAAAATTAAAAAATTGTACTCTTCAGAAGTAGCTACGGTTCAATCTAAAATTGTCATTCATGCTGATCTTGAGTTGTGTGTAATATAACTGTTGATGCATAAGAAGGAACATAAAATTCAGTGATATGAAACATTAGGCAATTTTGATTTCTTTATTGGGAGATTTATTGGAGAAGCTCTGCTATAATCAGCTAGAGAATCTTGTTTAACCTGATGTAGTCTTGCCTAACCAGCAAAGTCACCTCTAGTCTATAGATCTTCATGGTGATTGGATAGCTCTGCTCTGTGTACCATTGGGCTAGTTAGAGTATCTTCCTGTATTGTCCATGATTAAGTCATAAGACAAAATGTGCTATAACAAAACCTAGGGCAAGCTCCTATTTGTGTTATGTCTGTTAACATTCTATTAGCCAATGCAAATCATATAGCTGAGCACAAAGTCAATGGTTGAGAAAGTGTATCTGCCTTTTGCGGAACTGAAAAACTACGTGACAATGAGCATGGATACAGAATACAATGAAGATTTAGGCTCAATATTTCAATATATCTAAAGTTTATGGTTAATTTTACTTAATGGAAAATGTTCTTCTTGTATATTTCAGATAAAAATAACTGTTCAACTTCGGTGGCCCAGGTTCAGTTCTCAGCATGGAACCACACCACCTGTCTGTCAGTAGCCATGCTATGGTGGTGGCTAAGATAGAAGAACCAAAAGGATATACAAGTAGAATATACAACTGTGTACTGGGGCTTTGTGGGGGGGAGGATGAAAAATGAGGAACATTAGCAACAGATGTTATCTCAGAGTGAGTCATTCCCTGTAAAACAATAAAAAAATTTAAAAGTAAAAATAACTGATCTAGTTTGACAGACTTTTGCGTAAATCGATGGGCCATTTGATTAGCTTTACTAAATGACTGTCGTTGCTGGTTTTTGCTTGATGATCGTGGTTGAACTCTCACAAGATAGGCAAAGTTTGGGTAAATTTCCAAGTATCGTGGTTTCAGTCCAACAGCCAACTATGAATTATGTGATTGCCTTCACTAAAATCATGAGCTTTTTATCTCCAAATAAGGAATCCTAATTTCCATTATAATGAAGATTGCTATCAAACTTTGAAACTTAACCTATTTATTTGATTGTTTAGCAATATGTAACGATATGTTCAATAATTTGGGATATGTTTTATAGAGTTATGTGATTTATTTAACTTTTAATTCTCTGTCAACCAGATGCCATACACACTCAGCTTTCTAGTCAAAAAGTACTTTAATAGGCTGTGTGTATGTTAACAAAAATATTTTAATGACAAAAAAAATGTGTGTAGAGGATGTGAACACAGTCTAGAGTGAACCATGTGTGACATCTGCCATAGCTCCTTGGAATTAAGATCCCAAGGAGAAAACAAAACAAAATGTAATGAAGAAAATCTCTGAATAGGTGTGCACTCCGTTAGAATACACATTTAGTTAATCTGGAAAATGCTTTTCAACAAACATTTATTGACACAAATATAATGTAGATATTCTCCAAGAATTTCAAAATTAGAATTTTAATATGAATGTACATATTTTAAATGATGAAATGAGTGTATGTTTGTTGATATAAGTGATTTCATTGAAAGTTCTACAAACTGCTACTGATGGGTTCTTCGCTTTTATGTATGAATTATACTCTTCCTTATATTTTTAGTAGTGGTTTGGATAGGTGCAGTTCCTTTGTTTCATTTGTCAGAAGCTGTGTCAACACTTTTGGTGAAGGTATTCACAAAATTAAGGGAGGAATGTACAGAATTAATAGTCACTTACTAGAGAAAATGTTGCAAGTTGTATGTAGACCATATTATGTAAATATTAATTTCCATATAATGTTTAACAATACAACTTCAGGAAATTTGCAATGCTGGACAATTCTATTATGATATGAGTATTCCAGGGGTGGTAGGTGACATTTTTACTGTATGACTGATCCTCCCTACTATTCATCATCTTAGAAAAAGATTGACCCTGAGAGAGAAAAAAGGAAATTGAGATGGGCAGTCAGGGAAAGGGATTGTAGCGCTCCTACATCAAGGCTCTTTCTTTCCTGAATATTTCTGCTTAGATATGTAGTTCATGCAAGCTCAAAGACTGTCTTGTTGATGTAAAAAGTTGCATTCTAAGCACAAGGATAAAATCCAGTAATTGTATGAACATAGTTCTGAGCTTGTGGATCTGAGAGAAGCAACATGTAGGAGTGATTTTCTAGCTATATTTGGTGTTTATTTCCCTACTGCTATCATCAAAATTTCAGGAAAGCCTTATAAAAAATTGAAGCCTTATCCCTAAAGTAGATGGCACTTTAGAGAAGACGCAATTCCAATCTGACGTAGACTTACAGCAACAATAGAATAAGCAGGGAGCATTTCCCAGTTCATTTTACGATGCCTACCTCACTAGACAGCCAAGTTACAGAACAATATATTGTAAATATATGTGGACAAGTATTTAAAATAGTAAACCAATTCACTGATATATAAAATAGATAACAAATCATACTCAAGAGGTATTTAACCCAGGAATACAAGTTTGGTATATCCTTTCTAGTCCATCAAGGTGATTCATCACATTAACAAATAAAGTAGAAGAACGTATAGTCACTTCAACAGATGTGAAGAACAGCTAATAATATTAAGCAACTAGTCATGATAAAAATTCTCAGAAAAACAGGAAGAGAAGAGAAAGACAGATAATGAACACAAAGAAACTCATTTCCTTCTTTCTGGATAATGAATTATCAACAGTATGGAAGGCTAAAGCCATAGAATGTTAGCTAGGAGAAGAACAAACTTTTTACCTTTGACAAATTTGAATCAACTACTGCAGAGACTGAGGCTGGGATAAAAAATAGGATAAAACTTCATTTCCTTTTCATAGCTGCATTCTTTTTTATTGAATTGAAATTCTCATAATATTAACCTTCTTAAATTAAAAAATTCAGTGACACTAAAACTTTCACCGTATTGTGCAATCACACATCTACCTAGTTCCAAAATATTTTCATCATTTCAAAAGAAAGTCACACCCATTAAGTAGTTTTTTTCCCCATTTCTGCCTCCTCCCAGATCCTAATAATGAGAAATCTGCTTTCTGTCTCTATGCATTTATCCATACTAGACATGTCGTAAAAAGGGAACCATGCAGTAGGAGACATTTGTGCCCGACTTCTTTCATTAAGCACGCTGTGTTCAAGGTTCATCCACATTATAAGATGTATCAGTGCTTCATTCCTTTTAATCCTTAAATAATATTGTGCACATATATATGTATATATGTATCTATATATATGTGTGTGTGTGTGTGTGTGTATGTGTGTATAAATATATATATATATATCTCCCACATTTAGTGTATCCATCATTTAGGAAATTTGAGCTATTGTAAATAGTGCTGAAGAAGAACATTCATATGTGAGTATTTGCTTGAGTTCCTGTTATCAATTCGGTTTTGTTTATACCTAGGGATAGAATTTCTGGGTACCTGGCATTAGCCAGACTGTGAGGTTTGAAGTCACAACACCTAATCCTGCACTTACTTCTGAAACAAATTGCAAGTATGAGAAATTCCCAAAACCCCACTTAGGTATGTTACTTTCCTAGAAATTTCAAATAACTCAGTAAAAACTATACTCACAGTTATGGTTTATCACAGGATAAGGATACGGATCAATAGCTCAAAGGTAGAGACATATTGGACAGTGTCTAGGAGGCATCCAAAAGAGAAACTTCCATTATCTTCAGGACATGTTATGATCACAGAATTACCATTGTACAATACACGTGAATTATTTCCAACCAGGGAAATTCACACAAGCCCCAGTGTTCCGTTTTTTACTAGGAATCTATTACATAGGCTTGATTGATTGATTGATTGATTGTCCAAATGATTGATCTCAGCCTCCAGGCTAACTCATACTCCAAATCTAAAAGCCTGTACCCTAAATCACATGGTTAATCTTTCAGTCATGGGCAATCCCTGCCTTAAGATTGTCAAATATGGTCAGCCCCATCTTGATATGAGGTGTGGCTATCCACACTCCCCAAACAGACACTACTATCAGGTAAGATATAGATTATATCCCAGAAACTGAGGGCAAAGGCCAACTTCTCTTTGTGCAAGGCAAAATCTTCTACTATGCATTGGGTCTGATAGTAATTCTGTTTATCTATATGAGGAAGCACCAAACTGATTTCTAGAGTGTCTGAGTCATTTTGGATTACCGCTAATAATGTATGGCATTTCCAGTTGTTTCAAAACTTTGCCAACACTTGCTATGATATATATACATGTTTTTAATTAGAGTGATCCCACTGGGTGTGAAGAGATATCTCATTATGGTATTTATTTGCATTTTCCTAAAATCTAAAGAT